CTTATGACTTTACACTCTGCAGAAACCCCCACTTCTATTTTTTTTAAGTGGGAAGAAGGTAAACTCTGTGAACTCTAGTCTATTGCTGTAACTAAGAAAGCTTTTAAATCATAGATTTAGAAGCATAATTTGAGAGCACTACTGAAGGAAATTATGGGTATAAGAAGCCAATCTTGTTTGCTAAGAGGTAGAACTGGTAGGCTGACTTAGTTTTCTTTATTCAAAATATTAGCAGACAGGTAAATGGAACAAATGAGAATATATCTGGATTTATAAGGTAATTGAAAAAATATCCCATGAAATCCTTGTGGATCAGATGAAGAAAGTAGACTGGATGTAATAATAGAATTGTGGAATTTACCAGCAGTTGAATGACTACACTATAGGATGTGAATAAATATAAATGGAGAGGAAAGTCTGTTAGAATATGCATTTTATTTCTATCTGCTTCTACATGTCTAATAATTATTTGCCTAAGAGCATCATGGCTTTCTGATCAATTCCAAATATCATGATTTCAAGCTGGCTAGCTAATATACTAGGAAAAGAATTAGCTCCACTAAGCCCTTGACAGGTTCTAAAGATGGACTGCATATACAAAAATGGAATTCGATAGAGCTAAATGAACAGTCTTATAAAATTACTATGAAATTCTCAACTAAAAATACAAATAATATTTTAAGAAGTCAAGACTAATAGCAAATATGAGAAATAATTGGAATTTTAGTAGATTATAAATTCTGTGTTACAACAGAGTGATATAGTTACCACCAACAAAGAAATCTACTTAATCTAAGATTGTATGGGTAATGTTACAGTGTTCGGAATAAAGGTAGTAAAAATTAGTAAGGAAACAGAAGACTTGACCAACAGTGTCAACTAATGAGACCCAGTTGACATTTTTAGAACAATCTACCCAATGGCAGCAGCAGTTGTACATTCTTTTCAGGTGCACATGAACCATTCACCAAGAAGGACCATATTTTTGCCATAAAGCAAGTCTCAGTACATTTAAAAGCCTTGAAATAAGATGAACCTTCTCTCTGGCTGCAATAAAATTAAAACTAATAATAATATATCTGAATCCCATTACTGGGTATTTAATCAAAGGAAGCGAAATCAATGTATCAGAAGGATACTTGTGCCCCATGCTTATTGCAGCACTATTCATAATAGAAAAGATATGGAATTCATGTAAGCATCCATCAGCTGATAAATGGATTAAAAAATGTGGTATATACACAAAGTGGAATACTATTCGGTCATAAAAAAAAATGGAATACTGTTATTTGCAGCAACATGGATGGAACTGGAGGACATTACATGAAATAAGCCAAGTACAGAAAGAGGAATGTTACATATTTTCCCTCATATGTGGGAGCTCAGAAAGTTGATCTTTTGAAGGTAGAAAGTGAAATAATGGATACCAAATGTTGGGAAGAGTGTGTGAGTGAGAAGGAGACATGAAGAGAGGTTGGTTAATAAGTGTAAACATTCAGTTAGATAGAAGTTATAGCTTTTAATGTTCAATAGCAGAGAAGGGTGACTGTTGTTAGCAGAGAAGGGTGATGTGTTGTACATTTCAAAGGAGCTAGAAGAGAGGACTAGAAATGTTCCTAACACACAGTAATGATAAATGCTCAAGGTGATGAATACCCAAGATGCTCCCTTCCTAACATACTCTATGCATGTAACAAATACTCACATGTATTCTGCAAATATGTAAAACATTATGTATCAATAAAACAAATACCTAAAAAATTCCCTGAAATTTGGAAATTAAATAACAATGTTCCATATAACCTATGGGTTAAAGAAAAAATATTTTGAACTATGTAAACAGGTTATCAAAATTTGTGGAACATGGTTACAGTAGTTATTATAGAGGAGTTTATAATTTTAAATGCATATATAAGAAAAAAGAAATCTAAAAATCAATGAGTAAAAATTTGACTTTAAGAAATTAAAGAAAAAAGAAGAGAAAAATAAATCTAATGTATATAGAAGGAAGGAAATAGTAAAGGTAAGAGCTAAAATCAACAAAGTAGAAAATGTGTAAGTAATAGAAAAAAATCAGTGAAACTAAAGTCTGATCCTTTGAATTGATTTTTAAAAATTGATGAACCTCTAACCAGACAAAGAGATAACAAGAAAATAAAAATGTAGACCAATAATATTAATGAGTATAGACACAAATATCCTGAACAAATTTTGGCAAATCAAATCCAACAGTATATCAAATGTATAATACATTACATGGACCAAGTAAGCTTTAACCCAAGAATGCAAGGCAAGTTTAATAAATAGTTCAATTAACTAACAGAAAAAAGGAGAAAAACCATATAATAATTTCAACTGATACAGAAAAACATTTGACAAAATTCAATAGTCACTCATGGTAAAATAAACAATTTCTAATGAACTAAAAATAGAAGGAATTTCTCAATTAATAAAGGGAGTTTAATTAAACAACTAACATCCTACTGAAAGGTACAAGACTGATTGCTTTGGTTTATGATGAACAACAAGGATGGGATACTAAATTTTAGCATTTGTATTCAATGTTGTACTGGGCATCCTATCCAGTGCAATAAGGCAAGACAAATAAAAGAAGCAGAGCATGTAGAAAATCCTAAGGAAACTGAAAAAGAAAAACTACTAGAATGAATAAGTAAATTTAGCCATGTTGCAAAATGTGAGGGTACTGCACAAAATTCCACTGTATTTCTCCATACTAGCAATGAACAACTGGAGACAAGAACTCAAAAATAATTCCATTCATGAAATATCAAAAATAAAATACTAAGGGATTCATTTTTAAAATTATGTATAATACTGCTATGTTGAAAGCTACAAAATATTGCTGAGAAGAATTAAAGAATACCTAAATTAATGGAGAAATGTAACATCTTCATAGATTAGAGGAATCAATATTGTTATGTCAGTTCTCCTTAAATTGATGAGTGGATTCAAGGCACTCTTAATTAGAAAAGTGAATTTTTATAACATTGACAAGCGAATTCTGAAATTTACATGGAAGATGAAAGCCAAATAAAAACAAAAGCAGAAGAGTTAAACATATTTTGAAAAAAAATAAAAGCAGCACAACTGGAAGACTTATTACACCTAAGTTGGAGTCCTACTGTAAAGTTAGAGTAATCAGAGCAGTATGGTTTTGGCATAGGAATAGAAATATAGATCAAATGAAAGGAATAATGAGTGAATCCTGAAATAGACTCACTCATCCATGGCCAATTGATTTTTGATAAAGGTATCCAGTTACTCAATGGGAAAAAAGATAATCTTCTCAACAAATGGTGACAAAACAACTGGATATCCATGTGGACAATAATGAACTTCGGCCCTTACTTCATACCATACACAAAAGTTAACAGCAAATAGATCGTAGACCTAAATATAACAGCTAAAACCATAAGTTTCTATAAGAAACCATAGAAAATCTTCATGACTTTGGGGTAAGCAAAGATTGCTTATGTAAAACCTAACAAGTATAACCACAAAAAAACCCCACACTTGATAATTTGGACTTCCTCAAAATTAAAAACTGCTGTTTGAAAGACACTATTAAGAAATTGAAAGACAAAAAACAGACCGGGAGTATATATTTGTTATATATATATATCTGACACATGCCTGGTATATAAAGAACTCCTACAACTCAATAATAAGAATCCAAATACTTGATTAAAAATTGGGCAATAAATTCAGACACTTTATCAAGAAACAGCTGGCATGAGAGCACATGAAAAGCTGGTAAACATCTTTTATTGTCACCATCATTAGTCAGTAGGGAAACGCAAATTAAAACCATGATGTGATACCACTATATACTCACTAGAATGGTAAAAATAAGAAGACAGAAACTACCCAGTTTTGATGAGGATGTGAAGCAATTATATCTTGCTGGTGAGAATGTAAAATGTTTTCACTTTGGAAAGCAGTTAATCTCTATATATAGTTAAACACACAGTTACTGTATTAATAATTTTACTACTGTAAGATAAGAAAAATAATAATGTATGTCCATAAAAGGACTTGTTCAAGATTGTTCCTAGCAGCTTTATTCATAATCACCCCATATTGAAAACATCCCCAATGTCCATCATTTGGTAAACTGGTAAACAAATTGTGGTATATCCATACAATGGAATACTACTCAGCAATAAAAAGGAACAAACATCAGATACAGGCACAACATTAATGAGTTTCAAAAACATTGTGTAGAGTGAAGGAAGTCAGACACAAAGGAATATGTAAGTGGTTCCATTCATATGAAATGCTAGAAAAGACAAATCTAATCTGTAGTTACAGAAAACAGCTAAGTGGGCCAAATATGGGGTGGGATAGAGGTTGACTTTAAAGGGGTGCAAGACAACCCTCTGGGGTGATGGAATTGTTCATTATCTTGATTGAAGCAGTGGTTACATGTGTGTACATTATTCAAAACTCATGAAGCTGTACAATTAATATGAGTGTAATGTATTTGTAACTTATGCCCCAATAAAATTGATTTAAAAATTAAAAGGAAAGTGGGGCAAGCAAGTTTCATAAAGCAAAATGTCTTTGGGTAATAAGTGGCATGAATTAATGGCCAATTTCCTTAGAAAACAGCCATATGGATTAATCACCTCTAGAATTATTTGTGCCTGTGCTGCCCAGATCAAAGTTCCAATTCCTGGCAGAGAGGGTCTGAGGGGCTTAGCTTAGGTCAGGTGCTCTCTTCTGGACAGGGAAAAGGTGGACCATACTGACTGAACTTCCTGCCCAGACTGCTGTCCTTGTGGCAGGGGTGGTATCTCAAAGGTAAATGGAGGTACTGTTACCAGAGAAGGGGCAATGATGACTGCTTAACAAACAAACAAACACACACCCAAATAGTCTTCCCCTGCGTGTTCCCAGGGAGAGTAAAGAGGATGGTGAGGGGCTTCAAACATATCTATGTTCATTCATTCCATTCATTTATTCACTCAAACATAATATGGAGTCTGTACTATTTTCCAGGAGGGTTATTGAGTAGAGACACGAATGCTCTTGAAGTCTCTCTAAAAAGAAAGAGTTCTTATTAATGGGAGGAAGAGAAGCCTGGTAGGAGACGATTATCTGGAGTGGTTATGGGGCGCAGCCTGTTTTTGTTTTTTGTGGGGAGAGGGGGATAGAATTCAACGACATAAGAAAGAACTTTGCAGCAATCAGATTTGTACCTTTTGGGGTCCTGTAAAAGCTGGAAAACTCTTTAGTCTGGAAGAGGAAGATGGACAGAGAAGCAGATTCCAGAATTCACGTCCTGTCCAACCCACAAATGGAAGAGCCCGTTCATGGTTTGAACATTCCATCACTGGGCCTCCCGGGGCCTCCTCGGCGAGTCGGCAGAGGGAGCCATTCCCCAATAAATCGCCGCGCGAGGCCTCGGAGGACCTGGGGGGATTTTCCTGCGCGTCCCGGGAGTTTTCTCTCCGCCCCGCCTTGATAAAGCAGACTATCCCACCCTCCACCCCCTGCCTTCACCTCCCCGCCCCACCTTTCCATGTACTTTGCTGCCGCATCACATTCTCTGGCACGGCTTAATCCCCATCCTTTCTGGATCCCACCTTTGCGCTTTCTCCCCTGACACCACTGAGGACCCGCCGTCCGCTCCAGTTGGCCGCTCGGGCGCGGCCACCATCCCACAAATCCTTACAGAGGGTCTAGAACACCTCCCAGGGACTTTGACGAGGGACTCGCATCCAACGTGGGTTGGGAATCAGGCGGGCACCCACTCTGACACCCCTTCGGTCACCTCCTGCGGTGACCCCAACATTTGCTAACTTCGCGACCAGGCCTTTGGCCGGGTCACCCACCAGGCGGTGGAAGCCGCTCAGGCAGGAGCGACTCACGATCGAGGTGCAGGAGTCGGGCCGGGAAGATCCTGCGTGTTGCGCTAGGGACAGAGCGCGGCGCCAAGCGACAACCCCCCAGCGGCCACTGTCCCGGCAGCAGCAGCTGCAGCAGCGGCAACTGCTCGAATCCCGGCCCCGGCTCGGGTTACCCCCCCCCCCCCCCCCCCCGCCGCCCCCCCAGCATCTCGGGCCGGACAGAGAAAACCTTGTTCAAGTTTGCAGCAAGTACTTTCCCCGTGCGCAAAACTGGGGGACTGGGAACGCGCTGAGACGTTCCTCTTTCCCGCGTCTCCACCTTTACGCCTGAAAGAAGACTCCCAAAGATCGCTTTCTTCTGGGACACTGCTTGGACGCTAACCGCGCTGATTGGAACAGATTTTGTGTCTTGGCTGGCTTTGGGTGAAGACCGGGGAGAAAAGGCTGCGCTGCGATTCTCAAGATCTCTGGACTTGGGTAAGAGTTGGGCAAACTCAACCCCGGCGGCTGCTGGACCTTGGCCGGACGCCGGAAGGCTTCTCATGGGCGGGGGGCACATTTTCCTTAGCCAGGGTACCGGGGTGCGACGTGAGGTGGGGCGAGATGGGCTCAGTCTGCGTTTGTCATGGGCTTCTCAAGGGTTTATTGTTGTTTGCATTTGGTTTTGTTACATGGGATTGTGTAGGAAAATCTTGGAGTATTTTTGATGGAGAGACATCCTCATTACGCATTTTATTTTGCATAATTCCTGCTCTTGTATTGCCTTGCCCGTGTTTGTTTCCTTTTGCCGAGGGATATAGCTGGTTGTAGGGAGATTTGTGGGGAATCCGAATGAGGTTGAAAGGCAGTTTCAGCTGGGCCCTTTTTTCCAGGTCAGTTAAACTTCCTCTCTGGGATCTTCACTCTTTTCTAAACTTCTCTTTCTCCAGTCCTTGGTATTCAGATTGTGCAGATAACGCTCTAGGCTTGCGGGATGCTCCCCCTTCCTGAGTTCTCAACGATCAGTAGGGGTGTGAGGTCGCAGTCTTAGACCAAAGGGGCCTTGTCAGTATGCTTGGCTGCTTAGGGAGTGCTGGGAGGGACGGTTTTTGAAGTAATAGTTAAGAAAGATAAATCCGGTGTTATCTTTTTCTCTTAAATTCCTTTGTTAAGAGGACTTTTACGCCTGGTTTAGGGAAGTGTTTTGTCCTTATTTTTCTTTCTGGAAATATTTTCCTTAGTGACACTACTGAGTAAATGAACGATGGCAATATCTTGCTGCTTCTTTAGAAAATATGCTCGTGCAAGGATCCACATTCTTTAGGAGAAAATCAAAGCTGGAGATTTTATTAGCCAAAATTAGCCATTATTATTGTTCTTAGTCAGTGATAACCAGGCTGTGCCAAGGCAGAAGAGAATGACATTTCTTCTTGGTTCTTGCCTTACTCCTTTATATCCTGGGACTCCCTTTGTGTATAGGTTTCCCAAATAAAAATGCTTCATTCCTTATGGACAAAAAGACTGGAGTCAACTTATATTATCCAGAAATGTCATCTTCCTAACATGAGTGCTCCAAGAGGTCAGCTTGCAGGGAACTTTTAATTTTACCACTAAGAGGTCAAAGATTTCAGTTGGTAAACTCTGGGCACGCGCCAGCCTGGGTTCAGCTCACAACTCTGCCACTTTCCAGTTGTGTGATTTTTGGGGTAAGTTACTTAACCTGTTTATCCACATATGTAAAATCAAAATGATAATAATAACACTTACATCAGAGGACTGTTAAAGGGATTAAATAAGTTAATGCATGTGAAGGACTAACAAGCCTGACACATAGTAGGCATGAATTAGCTATTATTATTATTGTATAGCTAGCATTAACTATTGTTGTATCCCTCTAGTATAGCTTCTATTAGCTGTCAGTAAGTGTTAGCTATTATTCCCATTTGGATGGACTTCGAAGGCTGTGCTCATCTGTAAGCTTCACTACCACCTATCGTCAAACTTAGCTAAGACATGATCTTTGTATTGCTCTTTTGTTGTGGCACTTTCAGTAGGAAAAATAAAGGTGCATGTGGCAGAGCTGGAATTTATAGGGTGGTGGGTCATGGATACTTGGAACAGGTGAGGAGGTGGGAATTCTACACTCAGTTCACAGCCTGTATACCTCCTTGGAAATCCTTTGCATTAATATACTTTCTTTAACCTATTTTTTAGGGGTCACTTACTTGTTCAGTAAGTATTTATTAAACATCTATTACATGTCAAACACTGTTTTAGGTTTTATATTTTAAAAATGGCTATGTATGAGTATTGGCTTTATGTGCCTCCGCCATTTCAAGTGTGTGACCTAGCACTCTATAGATTAAATCCCAAGTATTTTTAGCCACACAATTTCCATACCCGTTAAAATGCACGTAAGAGCACATTAAAAGTGCATATCATTGAGAAATTGAACAAAATATTCCCTATGACCTCAGATCACATTTGGAAAAACACTGACTTGTAAGTCTCACCTCCTTACCATGATACACAAGACCACCTTTGCAGCACTTCTCAGGGTTATTTTCTGCTTCTCTGGTCCCCAGCTCTCCAGCCCGCACTGATCTTGATCTTGTTACTGTCTCAAGAATACGTTGTGCACTCTCACTCTTCCGTGACCCAGCTGTGTGTGCTGTTCCTTCTGCTGACAATGCCTTTGACCCTCTTTCCTGTCTAACCAACTACTTACCACCCATTCATCGTTTAAGACACTATTCAAATCCCTTTGAAGACTTTCCCTCTGAAGCTTCTCTCAATTCTCTCATAAACTTAGCGATATGTCATGTGAGTTCCCATTCTTGTGGATAGCTTTAATATAGCATCTATCACATTGTATCAGCCATGTTTATTACCTGAATGTTTATCCTGAACGGATTGGTGAGTTCATCATTCCTTATTGTAAGCTCTTATACAAGTGACTGACCCATTACATAGTTATGTAATAAATGCCTAAAGAATGTTGGAGAAAAGTAAATGGATGAATGATAGTCAACATTTTCTTAGCACATTTTGTTAGCACATAAAGTGGTTGGGACAGTATTGTATACATATGAAGGGTGTGGAAAAGCCAGTTGAGAATTTCCAATTTGGCTGGACATAGACTAGGGAGTTAATAACTTCAAGTGGGGCTAGGCATGGTGGCTCACACCTGTAATCCCAACACTTTGTGAGTCTGAGGTGGGAAGATTACTTGAGGCCAGAGGTCCTAGACCAGCCTGGCCAACATGGCAACACCCTGTCTCTACTAAAAATACCAAAATTAGCCAGGAGTGGTAGCACATGTCTGTAATCCCAACTCCTTGGGAGGCTGAGGCACAAGAATCACTTGAGCTTGGGAGGCAGAGGTTGCAGTGAGGTGAGATCATGACACTGCACTCCAGTCCGGGTGACAGAGTGAGACTCTATCTCAAATAATAATAATAATAATAAATAATAACTTGGATTGGAAAAGGACAAGACAAAATATCCAAGGAGGACTTATGAAACACCAAATGTCACTGAATTAATGTTACATGTTGAACATTATTGCAGGACGTATAATGAAGAACTGAGCTTATCCTTTAGGATGGTTTTGGTTTGGTTTTTGGAATGACAGTGTCAGAGCACTGGAATGGAAGTGCCAATGCCAATACAAATAACCAACTTTGCTCTGTGCTTTTCCATTTATAAAACACTTCTGCCTCTGTTTTTGATTAGAAACATGGTGACTGGTTCAATACTGTCTTTCCTTCTTTCCTGAAAGGACACATTCCTGAAAATAGGTCTGAAGATTGTATAAAAGCCTACATATTATAAGGGATTCTGGCCCTAGAGAGCCAAATATATTATGAAATCTCTAATTATGCCTTGCTATTTAGACACAGCATTCAGTGTATACTCCTTTTTCTAATTTTTCTTTCTTTAAACTTTCCACAATTTTGGTTATTTTCTCCTCATTTCAACAACAGTTGACCAGTTCAAGTTCAATAAATGTCTGATTCAGATGAAAAGATTTGCCATTTTTGGCATATCTAATAACTGCTACCTTTGTCTTACTTGAGTTTATGAGACAAACACTTCTCATAATTACTATTAGGCTTTTAATTTTCCCATTTCCCATTCACTTTTTTGTAATAATGAAGATATGCAATAACATTTGAATAAGTGTATGAATAATTCTCCGGGTAATGACAAAGATGGTGATTCTGCAAAAATTGAACTATTGGCTTATGGGCAGCTGCACCATAAAATAAAAACAAAAAAAGTTCATTCATTGGCTGGCATCTGAGTGTCAACACAGGGCAGGGAGGTAGTAGCATCAATAGATGTAGTACAAATATCCACATTGATGGACTTCAAATGAAGCAATATTGAGGACTGCCTATGCTCTCACTTTTCTCAAGCGTGTGTACCGTACCCAGTATCTGGTTTCAATAGTTTTAAGAATTAATGTAAGATTCACTGGGTTCTGTTGATTTGTCTTCTTTTAAAATTTTGTTTCTGAAATGAACTTTTTCTAGCTTAGTATAAGCCTGTATCATTTTCTGCCAACCTTTGGAAGTCTTTTAACTGGCCTCCTAATCTCTTTATTCAGTTATTCATTCATTCTTCATATCTGAATGTCCTGAAATTTTTAATTTATCTTTTGTCTCTCTTTACCATTTTAGACTGTTGTTCACCATGATCATTCTAACTCTTTTTAAATATAGTTATTGCAGAGGACTAATTTAGAGCATTTAATAAAAGGATTTCTCATACTATGAGGGTAAAAAGAAGGTACAAACCAGTGTTATATTTTACTTTACAGAACTTTATTTGTGGAATGGCAAGTCACTGTGTGGATGTTATTTGATAATACAAACTGTGGCATTAGCCAGTCTGGAAAGTGTGAATGTGATAATGCATCCTGTTATTATGGTTGTTCATTTTTAGCAATTTCCTCTCATTTCATTTCTAGTAATTTATACTCCTAGATAAAGAAACTATGTACAGCATTTAACCACCTCAATTTCCTACTCAGAGGGCAATAAATTGTACCCCTTCCCACTTCTTAGACAAAGAAAACAGTATTTCAGTATGGAAAACTTCATCTTGATAGGTACATGTGCAGGATATTAGCATCTGTTAAAAACATCTTATCTTTGGGAACATCCTAGAGGATGACTAAGTACCTTGTCATTAACGTCTCGTCTGACCCAGATGAGCTGTACAGATTTGGCTGGTTCTCAACATAGCCACAGGTGGTGGTTCCCAAGATGGATCCTTTGAATACCTTCTGCTGAAGAATTTTGTCTTTTTTTTAAGAAATAATTTTTTGATGGCAAATTGAAAATCAAATCACACAAATTTAACTTGTTCCTCACAGAGTGAAATAGAACTATGAAATTTTTGCTTGGTGGCACAGCAGACTAGTCCTACAATCAAAACAAAAAAATTTAAAGATCCACCCCTATTGACATCTTGAGAAAAGTACTTGAGTT